GTTTTGTTTTATTTTACTTCTCTTTTTTAAAAATTTTGACAGTATTAATGAATGAGCTCAGGGCCTCTTGTTTGTCTAGCAAGTGCTCTTTCAGTTGAACTACTTCCCCAGTTATTTATTTTTCTTTTAGTTTGTTTTTCAAATAGTGTCTCATGCTTTTGTTGGGTGCCAGAAGATCTCTATTTTCCTACCTCTACTTCCTGATTAACTGGGGAAGATAGGTCTGAACTACTACAGTTGACATCACATTTTCTTCATTTTTTTTCTATCTTGCTTGTTATTCTTCTTCCTTCCTTCCTTCCTTCCTTCCTTCCTTCCTTCGTTCGTTCCTTCCTTCCTTCCTTCCTTCTTTCTTTCTTTCTTTCTTTCTTTTTCTGTCAAGGTGATATACCATGGGGTTACAGTTGCAAAAGTAAGGTAATAAGTACATTTCTTGTCAACCTTGTTACCCCTTCCCTCATTATTCTCCTTACTTTCCCTCCCCTGAGTTGTACAGATCATTTCCAATATATTGTCTCGTGAGTATTGCTGTTGCATTGGTTCCCAGCTTGTCCTTTCTCACCATTCTGTTGTTCCCCTTCCTTCCCCGGATTCAGATAATTGTATACACAATACCCAGCGTATCAAAATCAAATACAGTGACAACAGGGGATACAAAAAAGAAACAAGAAATCACATAGTACATTAAAAAAAACAACAACAAAGAAAACCCTTTGGTTCCCATGTCTTGGAATTCATTTCGTTTAACGTCATCTTAGTGAAATAAGCCAGACCCAAAGAAACATAGCCCTTATTATTTCCCTTATTTGTCATAAATAGTATATATCTAGGATAATCTTAGCAGATCAGTAGAACATCTCAATCGCATCACATTTCTTACTCTACTTCCACAGTGTACATTATACTGACAGAGTGTTCTTAGTAAAAATGAAACCAAAGTGAAAAGACGTGTTTAAATTAAGAATTGGAGTTGCATTTATTTCCTATCAATTCCAAACTCTGGATCATAATGAGAGGATTTTGTGGAGATCTAGCACTGGCCTATCATTTTTGTCAGTCTTCCATATCTTTACTCACTTACAGCCCAGGAAAACCACCTGAAACAAACAGAGTAAACCCCCTAGAAAATTGGAAACTAGTTATATCTGTGTGGTTCACTGAGCCAGTCTTCCTGTACAGCCTCTTTCATTCTATGCATCACACTCAGAGACAAAGAAGGATGTGTGTGATGTTTGCTGGGGCCCTGTGCATAGGTGAACACAACTATACACAAATCCAGCCTCACCCACAGCTGTCTGATTTCTAATTCCAGGTTTCCACGTAGACACAGTTCTATAACGGCTTGCTTGTCTTCTTCTTTGTGAACTTGACGTAATGTCCATGTACTTTAACACATAAATCTTTGTCTTAACAACTAGCGAAGTTTGAAACTACTCAACATTACTGGCCATATAGGAAACTGAAATAATAATGTTGAGATTCTATTTCATTTCAGTCAGGATAGCCATCATCAAGAATATACTCAATAATTGTGTACCAGTGGCTCATTCCTGTAATCCCGTAATCAGGAGGCTGAGAGCTGAGGATCCCAGTTTAATGCCAGCCAGGGCAGGGAGTCCTTGAGATTCTCATCTCCAAGTAAACACCCAAAAAGGTGGAAGTAGAGCTGTGTCTCAAGTGATAGAGTACTAACCATAAGCAAATTAGGTCAAGGACTGGCACCTTAACAAAAAAGAGGAAAAAGGAATACAAACAAGAACAATAAAAGTTAGCAAGGATGGAGGGGAAAAGGCACCCTAATACAATGCTGATGGGAATGTTAATTAGCGTAATCATTATATAAAATCATTATGATGGTCTCTGAAAATATAAAACAGAAGTCCCCTGGGATTTAGTAATACCACTCTTGACATGCATCTAAAACAATATATGATATGATTACAGTTGAGGCACTTACACACCCATTTTCATTGCAAGACTATTCTGAATTGCTTCACCTGTGATGACAACACAGATGTCCTAACACTGATGGTCAGATCAAGAAAATGTGATATGTACACATAATATTATTCAGTTATGCAGTTAGGCCACTCGTAGGGAAATAGGTGGAACTGGAGATCATTGTGTTACATGAAGTAAGACAGGATCAGAAAAACTATAGTTGCATTTTTTATTATAAACAGAATCTACACCTAAAAGGTGTGTGTGTGTGTGTGTGTGTGTGTGTGTGTGTGTGTGTAATATGACTGCAAATATGGGACTTTTGAGTAGATGAGGGAGAGGGAAAGAGGGAAAGAGAATGATCGAAGGTGAACAATGTTGGAATAATTTGTATATGTGTATGAAGATCGCATAGAGAAGCTCACTGAAAGCTGTTGACTTTCAGAGGCGTAGAGAGTGTGTGGAAAGAGAGAATGATAGAGGGGGTTAATTGGATTAAAAATAATGTATGCATGTATGGAATGCCATGGTGAAATCCCTTTGTACAATTAATATACACTAATGCAGTAACAACAGGGAATGCAAAACAAGTTCTATTGGCAAATGGGTACCATTTTGGGAGGGGGAGGGGTAAACAGAGGAAGAGAAAGAAGGTGATTATCACCAAAATACTTCATATACACACATTAGAATGAAACAAACCAACATAAAATTGTTTTCCAGTGGGAGATAGGGATAAGGAAGATGCTTGAGGGATGAATTTGATCAAGGTACATTGTATGTGTATATAGAAATATCAAAGTGAAATATCCTTGTACAACTAATATATACTAGCAAGAAATATAGAATAAGTGTAAGTACATGCTACTGCACCATCTTTGTGCCAACATTATTCCAATAATTCAACTAGCAATTAAAAATAACACATTCCAAGTACACAGTAGTCAATAGATTTTTATAGCTGATCTCTCCTACATTTAACCAGTGTGCAAAATAAATCAAATATCTTAACCAGTGTAACTCAGAATTTGCATGTGTAACCAGTGGGCTGAGCTTTTCCCAGAGACAGCATAAAATTAAGTTGCTATTTTAATTATCATAATTGCATTCAGATTCATCATTAAATTACTGTGCTGCTTCAGTTTCTAATGAGAGTTAAGAACTTTTCAAGCAGCTCTATTGAGTCAGATTGACTGTATTGAACTTCTAGCTGTGACAGGAGTATTGGGTTAAATTTGAGGGCAGAGAACACATTCACTACACAGGTTAGAGTGTGTACCGCTCTACCAGTGCACAACTCATCTCTGGCTGGCTTTGCTTGGGTTATGACTGAGTTTGTGGGCAGTCTTGGCAATATATCAGTTGTACATGATTGCTGAAATCAATCACCCTCAGACTCACCATTACTGCCTGGACAAAGTCCAAGGTGAAGGTCAGGATTGAGAATATACAGCAGTATTGAAACTGACCTATTTTTGTCCTTATTTTATGTTTATATTTTGTCCAACCCTTTTGTTTTTCAGGCAGTAGAAATAAGTAAAAATCAGGGGGGGAAATAATGCTTTTCTTCCATGTGCCCTTTGAGGTAGAAGAGTTTGTAGAATAGGAAAAAAAATATTCCCAAGCTTTACTGATGTTGTCAGAGATCTGACTCTGAATTAAGAATGGTGTCTATCTGTCCTTCCATCCATCCATCCATCCATCCATCCATCCATCCATCCATCCATCCATCCATCCGTCCGTCCATCTCTATTTAGACTTTTATGAGACTCTGGAGGCAGAATCAAGGAAAACTAAGATCCACATCTGGAGATCTAACTTCCAGAAATCTTCAATCTGGTTCAGAAGATAAGACAAAAGTACAAAATTTAATTCAAGGAAGTACAAGATTTAGTGGGGAAAAATAGCAGGTAGGTAGGCATAATACCACAAAAGTCCAGAGTAAATGCAATTGCCCTTTTATATGAAAGAGGCAGAAAGGATCACACATACTGTATTTTAAATCGAGTTCAATGTGTGCCACCCGCAGACTAAGTCTTCATGTAATGTTTTATTGATTCAGTGCTTTGTGAGTACTTACCATGCACTTCCTTGTAATTATTACATGTCACTCTTTCCTTCTAATAGCTCCTGATAATGGAGTAGAGAACAAAAGGCTTTCATGAAGTTGTTTGTAAGTTTTCTTCTGGAGGACAGTCAAGCTAAGGACTATTTCACTCTTAGAAAATATTCTTAAGTTTGCAGCTAAAGAATCTTAACTGAGGTTAACTATTCTTTTCAGGGAGGTAAGATTCAAACTGACTTCTGAATCTTCCCAAGCCATTGTATCCTATTGGCATGAAAGCACTTAATCTATACTTCGCTGTTAGTATTATCTTTAATTTTGGCTGTTAGATTGCATCACCATAATGTGATCACACAGAATAGCTCCTCTCATTTACCAAAACCATTGAGCACCTATAGGTGCTCAATGTTGCTATACTTTGTCTTCTACATGGCCAGAGTATTTAAAGTATGTATCTGCCCATGGCCTTTTCTCTATGCATCTATATTGTGATCTTTTCCAGCAAGTAAGCTGGTAAGAGAAGATAGGTCAAGGGCTAAAGCTTTATGATGGTTTCTCTTTTTTTTAAAAAAAAAAAGAAAAGAAAAGGGCGGGGTGGGGGTGAGGAGAAGAAAAGAATTGCTGGGTACCAGTGTGTGCCTATAACACTAGCAACTCTGAAGGCTGAGATTTGGAGGGTTGCTATAGAAAGCCCTGACAGAGAAGTTTGCTAGACTTCAGGTCCAAAATAGCCAGCAAAAAGCCGGGCTGGACGTATGGTTCAATTGATAGACTACCAGCTTAGCCAACACTAAATACTACTTAATTAGAAAATTATGCTGCTTTTTATTAGTTTGCCAGACTGGAAAGTTTTGCTTGCTACTAGAAAGTAGTATTATTTTTTTTTATCACTTTTGGTCAAATTTATGTTAGGTAATTTATAACTTGTACCTAAAACCATTTCAACCTTGGTTTTTATGTTCATGCTTGTTTTATAGTGCTATCTAGAAAATAGAATTCGCTGGCAAAATAAAAGTGAGGTCTTAAATACAAAAAAACCTGTTTTTAAAGTTAGTTTCTTTCTATATGAATATAAAAATTATCAGATAAAAAGAACAAAAATCTCCATGAAAGAAGATTAGATACTTAGGATGGATATTTTCTACTATGAATTTTTATATTGTTAATGTATTGTTAAGATTAATTCTTTGGGAAAACTATGGTAATATTTAGTGCAGTTATTTTGGTGACTACAAATGCAGAAAATTGGAAAGCACTCCTTCACAGTCCATACATGCACGTTCCTTCCTGCATTACTAAGAAACTTCAACAATGTAAATAGTAACATGTAGCAATAAAGTACAGTTGTCCCAAGAATCTGCGAGGCATTCGTTCTAGGATCCTTTAAGGACATCAAGGATACTCAGGTCCTTTGTCCAACATTTATTATGTCCAAAATAGTATTTTCATACAATGAAGGTACACCCTTCTGTATATCTTCCATAATCTTTATGTAGCTTGTAATACCAAATATAGTGTAATGCTATGCAAATAACATTCTGTGGGTGATTGTCCAATGCATGTGCAATTTTATTTCAGATAGTTCAATTTTCAGTAGATTGGATCCTCAATGAAGATCACATAGTTATGGAACACTGAAGATAATGTAGTCCAAAGTTCAAAGTTCATCACTAATTTACCCTACAAAGCTATTACTTTCCTAAACCAAAAATATGTAGTTTTCAGTTACATGACTGCTTAAAAATTTTCATGTGTCCTTGTGTAAAATGCAACATGTTATCCTCATACCAAAAGAAACCTGGAAGAAGTTTTTCTAAGCTATTGACATTTTAAACCAATTGCAGAACAGAAATGTGAATATATCTAGAATGGTACAGCATTCACAATTATTGCTTTGTTAGTCGAAGTATATATAACATAAGCCTCTCTATTGCTAGATTGTAGGAAAAATATGTTAGAGTTTTGTCTTCTTATTATTTCCTTACGTAATCTCTGTCAACTTTCTTGTCTTAGAGAGATGCTGAACCTCTTGTCAGACGAATGGATTTCAAATGGGGTTTTGGTAAAATCACTTCTGTGCAATTCAAGATCATAACCATCAAATAGGCCGTTGTGTTAAAAACAGATGTAAAAGCTAGGGTTGAGAAATGGTAGGATGACCCAATCACCCGTTCATCAGGGCTTTCAAATCCACTGAAAATTTATTTATTTATTTATTTATATGCTGGTACTGGCTGTTGAACTCAAAGCCTGAATGTTATTTCTTAGCTTTTCAGCTCAAAATGGAACTCTACCACATAAGCCACTTTTATCTTTCTTGTGGTTAATTTGAGATAGGAATCTCATTTTCCTGCCAAGGCTGGCTTTCAACCACAATCCTCATATCTTTGAGTAGCTAGGGTTACAGGTATAAGTCACCAGTACCTGGCTCTACTGAATAGTTTTGTCAGCTATTATTCTCTTCATTCAAACTGGGTGCTAGTGACTCATACCTGTAATTGCACTCAGGAGGCTAAAATCTAAGTGTTACAATTTGAAGCCAGTCCAGGCAAGAAAGGCTGTGAGATTCCTAAGTCCAATCAACCAGCCAGAAGCCAGGAATGTAGCTGTGGGTTAAGTGATAGAGAGCTGACTTGATCAAAAAAAGTTCAGGGACACAATGCCCAGGGACTGAGTTGAAGCCTCACAACTAGCATTAAAAAAATAAGTGAACAGCTTCCACCAAGTTTAGAACTAAAGAGGAGGCTTCAATAGCTCTTCTGAGGTCTATCACACAGGAATTTAATATTTTTATAATACAAATAGTAATGAAAGAAATAAGTCTAGTGGAACTTGATTGATTAGTTTTCTGTTGTGTTTTATTTTCTTACAAAGATTGTATTCAGAATCCATAATGCAAGCCAATTCAATTTGTGGGCACATTGTCCTCAAATTGATTCAGTTTTGCTATAGGTTTTCAAGAATACTTGTCTTTCTTAAAACCGTGAGAAAGCTGTTGGTTTGTTTCTCAAAGTCCCACCCAGTGAAAGCTTCTGCATAGCCGGGAATTCAGCTGTCTCCTTACTGCAGAAAACAAGATAATAAAATAAATGTTTATTCTGATATGGCTGCCACAGTCTGATTTGGCCAATGTACACATTTGCTGTGAGCATCTCAACTCATATTCATTTTATCCTGGCCTTGTGGCAATCACATATATGGCCATTTCGAATCTCTGTAGTGTATTTTATTTAGTTAATGCTTTACCCAAACACATGTGTGCATACTGGTAAACGTATGCCTTTATGTTAGTGTGTAAATTTAAATTAAATTTTCACAACTCAGGATTACAACCAGTAAGTACACACTACCAAAAACAAAAAAATGAGAGGTGAGCCTGTCTGACACACTAGGTAATGTCAGTGGATATTACATTACCTCTGGGTACTGTGGATCTTGCTGATCTGTTTAGAGCAGAGATACTCAACTTTTACCCAATTATGTTCATATTTCCTGTGGATTCTTCTTAAAAAGTACTTTATATTTGAACAAGATTTTTCAATGTAATAAAGTTAAACTTGGCCAACGTAGGTGCCTGAATTGAGATCTTTTATTAGTTGATCTGTAAAATCTGAAATGAGATTTCCTCACTATATTGTAAGACCTAAATAGGAAAGATCTGCATCTCTGATTTGGAATTTCTAGTCATGGTATCCAACAAGGAAATAAAGAATAATGATAACAAACTTTTAAAAAAGCAAAAAAGAGAGTCTGTTTTTCTTCAAGAGACCAGGTAGCTAATATATTAGCCCCCATGGCCACTACTCAGTTCTAACAGTGCTCCATGAAAGCAGCCACTGGTAATATAGACATAGATGAATATGACTGTAACCTAGCAGAAGATCTAGAGATTCAATTACTGAATCTAAGAACTTTTTAATGATTGTTCCTTTGTGCAATAAGGGAGCAGTCCAAGCTTTGTAGTGAAAAAGAAAATCACCTATTAACATTGTCTCTCATGATGCTGGTGGCTCTCTGTCTGGAGCTGTTTCTTCCGCATGTGGGTATGGGATGTATTACTGCATTAGGGTCAAATGGAAGTTTGTGTGGAGTCACACCAGTGTTAGTGTGATGCTGCTGCTTGCTTGTGGGCTGGAACTTCAGCAAGGACTGTCTGCTGGAGTGACCTCTAGTGACCTATCCATAGGGTGAACAGAGATGTTTTTGTCGCATGTTTTCTGGGTTACAAAGGCAGCCAGGTTACGCTCATGACCTAGTCACTAAAGTCTCTGTCTTTGCACTGTACTGTATTGGTTGAGACAGGCTCCAGGGAAAAGGCAATGACTTTTCACTCAATGAAAAGAATGAGCGACAGTCACATTGTAAGAAGAACATACGATGAGAGCTATTGCTTCAGTTCTTTTTGGAAAGTGAACCTGCCACAGTGATGTTTTGTTATGCATTTAAAAAAGTTGGAACAGAAGCAGAAAAGGTACAGCAGCAAGATTTGGAAAGCAAAGGGGGAGAAATTGGCATAATGGGAATCATATATTGATACAATAATTGATATTGATAATGATATATTGATATTGATGATAGTCATTAAAGCAATCAGGGACTAAAACCTGGATTTGTATAAGGTTCCATCCTTACATATCCATATACATACATACATACATATATATATATATATATATACATACATATAAACACATATGGTGAATGGAGACTTATTGTCAAGGTGATGTACAGAGGTGTGACAGTTATATAAGTAAGGTAATAAGTACATTTCTTGTCAAACTTGTTACCCCTTCCCTCATTTTTCTCCTACTTTCCTTCCCCCAGCCCACCCCCCTCTCCAAGTTGTACAGATCGTTTCCAACATAGTGTCTTGTGTACATCGCTGTTGCATTGGTTCCCCCTTGTCCTTTGTCTCACCATTCTGTTGTTCCCCTTCCTTTCCGTAATACAAATACATGTATATACAATAGCAAACTTTTAAGTGGTCAGAAGAAGGTTGTGAGCTGGGTGCTGGTGGCTCATAATTGTAATCCAGCTACTCAGGAGGCTGAGATCTGAGGATTGTGGTTTAAAGCCAGCCTGGGCAGGAAAGTCTGTGAGAGTTTTATCTCCAGTAAACCACCAGAAAACCAGAAATGGCTCTCTGGCTCAAGTGGTAGAGTGCTGGTGAACTGAGGAGCTGAGGGACAGTGCCCAGCACCACGACCGAGACACACACACACACACACACACACACACACACACACACGAAGACGTAAAAGATTTTGAGTACAAGTCCCAACAAATAGGAGGACATCAGAAAGTGGTTTCCATTCTAGAGTAGAAGAATGGGGTGTCCTTCACCTCAGGACAGCACGGGGAAGGATCTCATTGATGTTCTTGCCAGTCTGGATCCCACTGTACATCACAGACTGGGTCTATGACAGGGCAGATCAATAGGTGTTTCAGAGTGGAGAAGTCAAGTGTTGACTATTGGACCTGGTCCTGACAGGTGACACATATGAAAAAGTCTCCCTGAAATGACTTGATTAGCTGGTAGGTTTGACATCACAAATCCAAAAATAGACAGAAGCAGCCAACTGAGGGCAACAAAGAAGCAGGGAGTCTTTAAAACTCCATTCCCTAACTTCTCCAGTATTTTCTGTGCTCCATACGCCACTGCCTGCATTAAAGCCCTCAGAAGTGCCCTTCTGAGCAGGCGCCCAGCTACGGGAGCCTGGAGACATCTGTTGTGCCATTTCAACCCTCCATTCTCTCCACTGGGCCTTCTTTGTTTGTGGACCAAATGTGCCTATTTTTTGCTCCACTGATTTAATATCCCCAGGAAAGCTCATAATGTAATCAATCATAAAAGTTGGATCTGAGTGGGAAGTCTTTAGAGTTTCATCTTGAACCTTTCCATGGGACCCACCCCCCCAGTCTGCCCCATAGCCCCCCATGCCCCAGACCCCCTGTACTAGGTAGCTACACTTGGAGTTGCTACCTTCTCACTGTTTTGAATGCATAAGCTATTGAAATC